TATCCTACAGGAGCTTTCGGCCTGCCTCCTCCGGGGGTTAACGGAGAGCTGGCGGGGGCTGCAGGGTACGGAGCTGGTCTGCACCTCGTCTCCCCTCACATGAACGGATCCGCGGCCGCTGCTGCCGCCGCCGCCGCTGCTGCTGGATATGGACGCTCACCTGGGGTGAGATGCCGTTTTATCATTTCTACAATATAAATAGATCTGTTTCTTCTTTGATTTACAATTTTTTAATGCACCTCAGGTCCAAAGCACAACTACATTGCTGTAGACTGGGGGGTGTCCAGTTCCAAAACAGCTTTCTCACTTGAAGAGATGTACTAAACCTGGTAACTCGCTGCTGATTTGAATCAGGAGTGTTGGAGCAGGAAAATCACCAAACTGTGCTGGACTAAGGCCCTCCAAGTCCAGAGCTGGACACACCTGATCTAGAGCATTATCTGCATTACCCTACAGAAACTGAATGTAACCCATGAAAATGCTGAGCTACCTGTAAAGATGTTGCCTGCACCCTTGAGATTCAGTGTGCATTTTAAGTTTTGTCTTTGCGTCCTTTAGGTGGGCTATGAGTCCCCTCACCCCCACATGAGGGTCCCGGGCCTACCTGCTAGCCTTCAGCCTGCAGCCTCAGGAAAGCCGTAAGTTTTCCAACTTTTATTCTTATTTTTGAATCCTTCCTTCTGCTGTTCTTCATCTTTCTACTTGCTCATCTGGCTCCTGACAAGAGATGTCTTGAAATCTCCCACCATCAATCTCTCTCTTTCACCTTCTCTCCAGTGCCTACTCGTTCCATGTGAGTGCAGATGGGCAGATGCAGCCGGTGCCCTTCCCTCCTGATGCCCTCCTGGGCCCTGGCATTCCTCGCCACGCCCGCCAGATCCACACCCTCAGCCACGGAGAGGTGGTGTGCGCCGTCACCATCAGTACCTCCACGCGGCACGTCTACACCGGCGGCAAAGGCTGCGTCAAAGTGTGGGACATCAGCCAGCCGGGCAGCAAAAGCCCCATGGCCCAACTGGACTGTCTGGTCAGTTCACCCTCTCTCAGTCGCTCTACGTAGGGGGGCTCTTATTACAGTACAGTTTGTAAAAATGCTAAAATTTCAATAATCTATAAGGAGTCAGGTCGGAACAGCAAAGAGGTTATATAACACTTTGTTGGGTTTGAAATAATATTAGTGGAAAATCAAAGTTAAAATCAAAAAAATTCCCTGTAATTACAAAATGTAGCAGATCAGTGAAGATCTTTGGTCCAAAACTGCTTTAGTTTTGAACCAGAGCTTTGAGACGTAATGGATGCTGATGAACACTAGTTAGCACTGCATGCCTAAATCAGCATGTCTCATATCTAGCAACAGTAATAGCAGCCATCCTGATGCCTCGATTTTGTTCATACTTTTGTCCATTTCAGTATATAAAATGCTACATTTTTGCAAAGCTGTTATTTTAAAGTCAGCATCTGTCAACTTCATAGAACTTTTTCTTGCTTCATCCAATCAGAACAGGGACAACTACATCCGCTCCTGCAAGCTCCTCCCAGATGGGCGGACATTGATAGTTGGAGGGGAAGCCAGCACTCTGTCCATCTGGGACCTGGCCACGCCCACTCCACGCATTAAGGCGGAGTTAACGTCCTCCGCTCCAGCTTGCTACGCGCTGGCCATCAGTCCAGACAACAAGGTGTGCTTCTCGTGCTGCAGCGACGGCAACATCGTAGTGTGGGACCTGCACAACCAGACGCTCGTCAGGTAACCACAGAGGCACCAGCTACCAGAGTAGAGTGACTTAAATTGCACAATTCATCAGATTCTAGTCAGAAACTCGAGTTGTATAATAGTGTAATTAGTGTTCATGTTTATTGTTTTTCCTCGTCCACAGGCAGTTCCAGGGCCACACAGACGGAGCCAGCTGTATCGACATCTCCAACGACGGGACCAAACTGTGGACGGGGGGTCTGGACAACACAGTGCGCTGCTGGGACCTGAGAGAGGGCCGGCAGCTCCAGCAGCACGACTTCACCTCACAGGTACTGCAGCACCAGGGAACTGTGGGAAGTGGGGTTCAGCAAACTGAAAGAGCAGCTGAATCATACTAAAAACATACTGGAAGTTTTTTTAATCACATATTTTACCTCGTTTCTGTTCATGTCTGTGTAGATCTTCTCTTTGGGCTACTGTCCTACGGGGGAGTGGCTCGCAGTGGGCATGGAGAGCAGTAATGTAGAAGTGCTGCACGTCTCCAAACCAGACAAATACCAGCTGCACCTGCACGAGAGCTGTGTGCTCTCTCTAAAGTTTGCCTACTGCGGTACGACTTTTACTTCATCTAAATGCACTTTTCCTTTTGTTTTCCTCAATATTTTGTGTGTAGTTTGATACAGAGAACCTTTTTTTATATTTCCATTTCATATATTTCAGGTAAATGGTTCGTAAGCACAGGTAAAGATAATCTACTGAACGCATGGCGAACTCCTTATGGCTCCAGCATATTCCAGGTATCATACTGTTTCAGTTTCATTTTGGACACAATTATCTATTTAATTACAATGTTCTGTATCATTTCTAATGATCCGTATCACATGCTGATCTGTATTACATGCTACATAACTAATATGCCACCATTCCTAAGGTTACTTTGCAATTGGAGGAAAGACCAAAATAGATGCGTTTATTGTGATGGGCAAAACTCTCAAACTCTGTTTTTTGCCTCCAGTCAAAAGAGTCATCGTCAGTCCTCAGCTGTGACATCTCCCCTGATGACCAGTTCATCGTGACCGGCTCAGGAGACAAGAAGGCCACTGTGTATGAAGTCATTTACTAAAACGAATGCAGACTGGACAGTCCCTCATCAAGAGAAGAGCTCAGTGGACGGCAGAGCAGAAACCAAGATTCGCCTTTGATTTGGCCAGTGACTCGCGCAACAGAGCAATGGGACACGGACTTGGAAAAAGCTCATACGTTTTTTTGTTTTTTTTTTTTCCCCCTCCCTGACTTCCATTAGGGGCAGGCATAGAGGGGAGACGGTGCAGCTCCAGAACAGGACTGACCTTGTTGTTTTTTTAATGCTGTGAGAAAGCTGGTAGTCTAGCTTCAGAGACATGGGATTCCTCCAAAGACCTCTCCTTTCCTTTTTTGTTTTTCCTTTTGTTCTTTTTTTAACAAGATGAAACCTCTGTAGTGAATGAAATAGAAAAGAGAATCTTTTTTTTCTTTTTTTTTTTTCTTTTTTTAAAGTCTCTTTCCATGTGGAAATGGACAGTGGAGGAGCAGCAGTACGCTGAGCGGGTTTGGGCTGGTTTCAGAGGAAGGACTAAAGACTGCGGCCATTTCTCTGCCCTCTTCATCCAGTCTGTGCTGAGCCTCTTGAGACTCGGCTCATCTCAGCTGTGCAGCTCGGCGCTTCAGACAGATCCAAATGGCTCGAATTCAGCAGCAGTATGATTGTGTAATGATAAGATGACAGTCCCATCTAGGGTCGTGATTTTAATATTCTACGATTTCAGGGAAATGGCTGTATCGACACTCCACATTAGCGTGTTTTCTCGTGTATACTGTATGTCGGGTCACAATGAAAAGTATTTTGACTTTCGTTGGATACTTCTTATGTATGAACTGTAAATAAAGCTCCTTAAAAGCAGAACAAACCAAAACTCGGTTTAATACACTGACTACAGTACAGTTTGTCTATAGACTACTATGTGAAAGGCAGAGATCACCATTCATTTACCTTCCAGTCATATTTGTGTCAAGAACAAAGCAGAAAACCTACGTAACAGAAAATTACACAGAAACTTCAACAACTAAATGCAGCATCATTTATTCTGTATTTGGTGTCTCCACCCTTTACCTTTATTATAGCTTTTGTTCTTTTCAGCAGACTCACTTTGTCTTTCAAATATATCTGCAGGGATGTTTTTTCCACACCTCTAAAGTTCAGTTTTAGAAGTTGGTTGCATTTTCTACTTTTCAAAATCCAAATAATGCCAAACACATTCAGTGATGCGGAGGTCTGGACTCTGGGGTGGTCAGTCCATTGTTCGAAGAACACCAGATTCTTCGTTTGAGCTGCAAATTTTTTCTCAGTAACTCACAGCATTGAGTTGTCTTCTCACAGTGGAAGGATGGACAGAAACACCTGGATGTTTTCAGATCTGAAGCAGCTTGATTTTCTCCTCTCTCTCAAAGATGCAAGTGTTGTTTATCTGATAGTGGCTGATTGGTGGTCTACCAGGTGTTGCCTGGCTGTTGGGAGCCCTTTTTTCCTTGTATCTTTGAATAATTTTTGAACTCCAGTGTTGAAAACCCCACCCCCAGTGCTTTAATGGAATATAAATAAAGGGTGGTCTCTGACTTTTGTACTATCAAATTAACACTGCTTCGTAGTACATCAAGTAATTCATGCATTGAGAATGATTGTTACATTGCAGTGTCATTCAGGTTAAATGAGATGTTACTCTCCGTAGTCATTATGCACAGATGTAGTAAACAGCCCCACAAAGACGAGAGCTTCAAAATATGACCACAAGTTTAATTAATCAATGTATGCATGTCTGGTACATCACACAGGAAGTGCTACACAGGGATATCACAGCTGTGCCTTTGCAGAAAAAAGTCCTTGGCTTCAGAGAGAGGGAGAGAAAGAGTGAGCGCTTGACACTGGACGTTGTTTTTCAGTATAGAAACAAAGCATTAGGCAACAGTAGATACAGATATTCCGATAGCATGACATTTAAAGATAGGTTGTGACGATAAGGCAGTGGAGAAGGTCCGGCTTACACAAGACAAATCCCACCGTCTTTGGGCAGCCATAGATTCAGCCATTTATAGAAAGGAGAAAAGAAAAATACACCATACTTTCTGCATAACAACAGACCGAACAGAACAAAACACCGTAGCACTATTACTAATTTCCATTAAAAAAAATCATACAGTTCTTTGTTGTGTTTGGAAAGGTAGCAAGCAAAAGACTCAGTTTTCAGTCCATCCAAAAGTTTTCCCTTCCTGCGATTCCGAGAAAAGCCCTCTGGTTCACAGATCAGATAAAGTTGAAGAAACGGAACATGTTGAAGAAAACAAAAGAACAAAATTTGCTCCCAGCAGGGTTTCGTGGTGCGTGGATCGCTTGACTTCATCCTTCAAACATCACAGGTTGGGTGGGCAACCACAGCTCTTTAAAACTGTGAGGTACAACAGGGGTATATTCTAGGGCCTCTTGGGCATGAAGCTAACCTGAGTCTGGCTGCAGGGAGAGTGTGGATTTCTCTGGCACTGTTACAAGCAAAGTTCTGAACTGCTTTTCTGTTTTATGCCTCAATCAAACATGAGCTTCAACCAACCATGTTCTGCAGTGGTGTGAGATCCAGTGGTCAGACTGTAAAGCGCCGTTAAGTGCCGTGTACATATATTGGGCCACTGGAATTACAATGAACAGTGCTGCTGTTCAGCGTTTGCTGCATGAAACCCACTGAGAGATCAACCTGCTCCTCATTAGACTCTGGGGGAGCCTCTTGTGGGAGATGAAAATAAAGCGCGGGCTGGAGAATTCAGCTGGGAATCACCATATGAATATTTAATTGGAATATATAGGGAAGTAGCGTATTGTGTTTGTGAACACATCATAACTGGAACGCTAGTTCTAATCTGAAGAGTATAAGTCCTGCGCTCTGTGTGGTGAAGGACAGCCTTGTTTCCCATCTCCCCTCATTGTTAAGCACAGTACAGTGCAGGTGCTGATTAGCTCACGTATAAAAATCTGGACAGACGTGGTACGTTCAGACATCGAACTCGAAGATTTTCTAATTTTACCACAAACTTTTCTGTAAATACAGATCGTAAACACAATTCTTTGTTACCCAGATTTACAAGCAAGAATATTCCAATTTAACACAGTTGACCAAGCCGGCAAACAGTGCACCAATATGGTCGACTAAATACAGTAAACACTTCAGTGTTTGTAAATGACTGACAACCTACCTCTACTGAATAAGCAGGTCCCCATCAGGAACCAAGGAACCTAAATTTGCAGGGCAAGATGATGGCTGAGGTCAGTGTAGGAGGAGTCTGGCACCAAACATTAGTCCCCAACTAGCTGATGATTTTTTTGGACAAGTAATTCTTGTCCTCTGAATAAAAAACAGCTTTTAAATAGTGAGTTTCATTGATGGCTCTATTGATATAAGTTAGTTCCAGCTACTACAACACTGTGACTATCACTTTATAGAATTGTCCCTCCAAACTTTCACATGGATTTGTTCAATTTCATTACCATAATGAAGTACTGATGAGCCAAACCAGCCACTGATTCTATAACTAAAAATAATAGTGGGTCGCATTAATCTTATTTGTAGTTATTCTAACAGGGCATTTTGGCTTTTCTGAGTAAATGAACGCACTTTTACTTCATATAAAGAGTTTTTTACTGCAATTTTTTCAGGTGTTTAAAACTTTTGCACATTTATATATATATATATATATGTATTTGTAGATACCTACTCAACAAACATATCAACAGTAAACAGTGCACCCTCTACACTTCTATTTGTTATGTAGTTTATATTATTTTCTATAAGTGTAGAGGCAAGACCACAAACGACTGGTGGCTTGGATTTCGTGATGTGCCAAACATCCAAACATCTGATTTGATTAGTGTCCGAATGCACTGTTACTGTTCACCAAGCGCGTTTAGCTGTGCAGCGCCGTTGCTTGTGTCAGCGTGTTAGCGCTCATATCCTCCCAGGTTGGTAGCTATTGTGTGATGGGGGGCCCGGCTAGCGGTGGGAACAGGCAATGACTAAATTAGGGAGGAAATTGGGTTTAAAATCCAGCCAAGGCCAGGCCACAGCTTGCTCATTCTGCTGTCTCTGGGTTTTTCGTGGGAGGGGTTGCTTGTGTTGGGGCTCGTTACAGTGGAGGCTTTTTTTGGGACTAATGAATCGATTGTCTAGTATGTGTGTGTTTTCTGTGAGCTGCAGCTCCCTAAGTGCTCGCTGTCTCCTGTGGGCTTTTCTCCTCTCTGCTGAGCTCTTCATCTAGAGACTGCGCTAATTACCCTCCCTCTCTCGCTACTGCTCTCTTTCTCCCTCTCTCTGTCTCATTCTTTATCTCTCACTGTCGTTCTCTCTCTCTCTGAGGAGATGGAATGGGGTTGGTGGAGGTGTGGTAGGTGGAGGTGGGGTGGGTGGGTGCATTTGCGGGTACTGAGCAGGGAAATACTGTCTGGGAAGAGGATGTGTTGTTGCCCATGGTTGCCCACTCTTCTTTCACTCATTCTGTCTTCCATCCATTCATCCATCGCTCCCTCCCTCTCTCCTGTTGCCTCAGTACACCACCTCATACACAGTGGCTTTCTTATCTCCGGACCCTGTGACGATGTACTTGTCGTCGGGGGAGACGTCGCAGCTCAGGACGGACGAGGACTCCTTGGACTAGAGAGAGAGAGAGAGAGAGAGAGAGGAAGAAGGGAGGAGAAAAATGTGCATGTCAGACTAGCTTGCGTACGATGATTAGGCTGAGCCAAAATAAATAGCACCCTAGTTGGCTACATCAGCGGGTTCATTTGAAATATTAATCGTGCATTTTTTCTCTCCTTCCCGGCTGCCGATAAAGTCATCAGCCCTGCCGCGCTCTCTCTGAACAGCTGTATCTATTCTGCACAGCGCACACACTCTCAACAAACAAGGGCTATCAATCTCGCAGCAATGCACCGAGGGTCTTTCCGACAGTGATACAAATGACGCTGAGAATCAGAGGAAGGTGCTGCGAGATATCAGACGCATGGTAAGGTGAGCTAAAAGGCAAAGAGGCTATAAACTTCAGAGTCTGATTTGATTTTGATTACAGTTCTTTAAGAAACGATTCAGTCATCATGAAATATCGAATTTCATCATGATTTGATCCAATTATGTCAGTACGATTCACAATTAGTTTTAAACATACACTCAATGCACCAATGTGGCTGCAGGAGCCGTTACAGACCAGCAGACAAAAAGGCAACAAAAGCAAAACCAAGAATTTTATTTAGCCTGAAGATGAGTGCATACAGTGCACCTGGTCCAGCTGCATACTTACTGATTCTTTGACTGAAAATAAGTGAACACATCCTCTACAGCCCATGTGTCAAACACAAGGCCTGCGGGCCGAGTCAGGCCTGTGACACAGTCCTATTCAGCCCGTGAAATTATTTTAATTCCCTATTATTATTCGCCTGTTTAACCCTGAAATGCACTGCAGTTCCCAGCGTGTTCGGCTCACGGCAAAATGTTAAGTAAAAATGAAATAAACACAGCTGACATTTTTAAATATGGCCCTTTTTAGAGGTTAAGTTTGACACCCCTGATCTACAGAGAACAAACCTCGGCACATTTTAATGCACCACTGATGTTCATTTGCTGAATTTACCATATTGGGAAAAAAAAAATAAAAGCAGAATGTGGTCTGTACAAAGGTTTTGGCACAGTTTATATTTTGCGTCCAACATCTTAAACTCAGCAAATATATAGAAATTGTACATTGAAAGTGTGCAGAAAAATGGCTTAATTAAGTTTGATCCTTGTAGAGGCAATTTACCCGGGGGTGTTCAAACGTTTGCATGTGGATTACATGATTTAAACTTTATTTACTCAGTTCAGTAAAGTAACCTGCTACCCATACTGCCCACATAGGAGAGCATGCGATGAACTGCACAATGGTTTTTAATAACTTATTATTGTATTGTATTAATACACAGTTGAAACGATGGCCGCGGTTATATGTGCGTATATAGAGTATTTTACAATGGCTTTAAACATGACTCAGCCAATCAGATATGAGAAAAACTGGACTGTCCATTTTATATACTCGATTCTAACGTTTAAAAACTGATGTAGTCTAATCGCCAATCAAAGACAGGTGTGGCACAATGCGTTTTCACACTCCTGTGGTCGGGCTAACAGGAGCGAATAGGGAGACGTGAGGAGAGCCGAAAAGTGGATGGGACTCAGCCTCCCTCTTCTGATAATTTCTGACTATTCTCTTTATGATTTTTTTCCTCTGCTATCCTTCATCTCTCTTACCTGGAAGATGCTGGCTCCATACGGCGTTCTCCACGCATTTAACAGATTGTCTTTTCCCGTGCTGACAAACCATTTGCCTGCAAAACACAAAGAACAGCTCAGCGTGTATCACAGTGCACTTCTATACATATTCATTCAAACGAAAGAAAGAGACGGTGCCAGTGTTCGGCTGCTCGTACCGCAGTAGGCAAACTTTAGAGAGAGCACACAGCTCTCGTGCAGGTGCAGCTGGTATTTGTCTGGTTTGGAGACGTGCAGCACTTCTACATTACTGCTCTCCATGCCCACTGCGAGCCACTCCCCCGTAGGACAGTAGCCCAAAGAGAAGATCTACACAGACATGAACAGAAACGAGGTAAAATATGTGATTAAAAAAACTTCCAGTATGTTTTTAGTATGATTCAGCTGCTCTTTCAGTTTGCTGAACCCCACTTCCCACAGTTTCCTGGTGCTGCAGTACCTGTGAGGTGAAGTCGTGCTGCTGGAGCTGCCGGCCCTCTCTCAGGTCCCAGCAGCGCACTGTGTTGTCCAGACCCCCCGTCCACAGTTTGGTCCCGTCGTTGGAGATGTCGATACAGCTGGCTCCGTCTGTGTGGCCCTGGAACTGCCTGTGGACGAGGAAATACAATAAACGATAACTGACGTGGACACTAATTACACTATTGTGTAGCTCAGCAGTTTCTGGCTGAGTCTGACACATTTTAATGCTGTATTTGCTTCACAGTGCAGCAAACTGTTCCTTTTTCATCCTATTCATTTTCCATGGAGACAGGCAGCGTTCCTGCATTGAGGATCTGTGGAGAGGCGGAGCTAAGCAGGTGAATTTCTAGACATTATACTAATAAGAAGCAAACTGCACTGCACTCTCAGGAAAAAGGTACTAAACTGTCACTAAGGTGAGACCCTCAAAGGTACAGTCGTATGCAAAAGTTTGGGCGCCCCTGGTCAAATGATGTATTGTTGATTTTCTAAGTGAATATAAAATAACATCCTCTAACAGAGAACACACTTTAATACTCAATGACTGTTTATTTGCTGAATGTAACATAATAGGAAAAAAATAAAACATAAAATGTAGGGTGCTCAAACTTTTGCATGTGACTGTATGTCTTCAGTACTTTTAGTTAGCGAACACAATTGAATCCTATTTTAATGCAGTATCATTCTTAAGTTGAATTGACTCCAAAAGCCTTGACGGGACATCAGTTTTATATTTAATGTTTTTTTTCCCCCAATTTTCTCTCCGATTTAGTCGTTTCCAATTCCACCCACTAGTTAGGACTCCCCCAATCACACAATACGACCAGCACTAGGAAGGAGAAGGCTAGCACAGGCTTCCTCCGAGACCTGTGAAGCGCTAGGGCATCTTTTCGAACTGCCGCTAACACCATGTCACTGGGCGGCCGAACATGCTTGGAGGAAAGCACCCACTGCCAGATCTGTTACGTCAGCTTACAGACGCCTGCGCTGACTAGCACTGCGCTGAGTGATGGGGGGAGAAGCCGGGGGGCCATCCTACCCACCCAGAGAGCAAGGCCAACTGTGCTCTCTTGGACTGTTATATAACTGTTATTATGCATCTTTCTCTGGGAAAACAAGTGTAGCATATTTTAAAACTTACTTATGGTACACAACTGAAACTTAAGTATTAACTATTGTTGCACCTTTGAGGATAAATTTCTGTTGTTTGTAACTTAATGGACCAAAATGTGCCTGTACAGTTCTTTTTCTGACAGAATGGGCTGAAAAAATGATGTGGCTAGCATTTTATCATGTCATGCCCATAAACAAGCTACAGACTCAAATCAGCACTGAGAAGATTCAAAAGGCACATCAAGCAGCAGACAATAATAATGACTGACAGTCAGCAGGAGAGGAGCTACATCAGTTAAAAGTTTTGCATTTTTAAAAACAATATTAGACCTCTTGTCTTTCACTGGGCTTGAATTGTACACTCAGCAAGGGAAGTGGGTCTCTTCACTGTAATGAAACTGCAGTGTTAAAATCCTCTATGTACGTTTCCATGGTTACCTGACGAGCGTCTGGTTGTGCAGGTCCCACACTACGATGTTGCCGTCGCTGCAGCACGAGAAGCACACCTTGTTGTCTGGACTGATGGCCAGCGCGTAGCAAGCTGGAGCGGAGGACGTTAACTCCGCCTTAATGCGTGGAGTGGGCGTGGCCAGGTCCCAGATGGACAGAGTGCTGGCTTCCCCTCCAACTATCAATGTCCGCCCATCTGGGAGGAGCTTGCAGGAGCGGATGTAGTTGTCCCTGTTCTGATTGGATGAAGGGACAGAAAAAGCTCTGATGATTTCTGGGAACTAAAAAGTAGAATCATGCTTATATTTAAACTCTAAAGGTATTACGGTACTACTCTTATTTCATTGTTAAGTTCTGGAAGGAAACAAATGGGTTACATTCTTGAAACACACAAAAGAAAACTGGCCAATCAGGAACTGTTTTTCTCTGTGGTATCTCAGTAGATGTAGCAAAGGGAGATTTTCTATTGGTTGGGACTTTAGGAGCTGAAGAGAAGGCCAAATACCTATTATCATAATTACAAAGTGACAGAGGAATCAACCAATCATGTTTTGATTTCCAATCGCCAGGACCAATTTGAGAAAAAATGTCACTCTAGGCCTTCTGAAAGTTCTAGATACATCACTGAAAGTAAATATGAGTAGCAGCCTAAACAATGGGCTGTTAGAAATGGAAAACAGCAGCGGCAGCTCTAAACCATCTGTAGAAAGAGTCACTGAAACTGCTATAATGTAAAATATGTGCTAATGTGTCTGTCACAAGCTCCAAGTTAAGCACAGAAAGTTAGGTGAATTGGCGTTAGTTTAGCGCTAACAAACTACTTGAATCCAATAGGGATAATAGCAGAAGTTAGCATTATCGTAGACATTTTTTTTTCCTCATGTTTTGACAGAGTTTTTTTAAATTTATGACCCAAACCGAAGGCCTAGCTATAACAGTCATGGTTCGTCACTGATTGGCAGATGCTGATTTAAAGCAATTAAAGTAATAGTTTAGCAAAAATTCCAAAAATTCCAAAATTCCAAAAGAGTTTTTGGACTGTATGACATTTTGTAATCTATAAAGATGGACAAAACTATGGAGAAAATTCAAACTTTTAGATGGCTAGCTATGCAACACACTACACAAAACTAAAGAAGCAGGCTTAGAACTAGATATCTCAAATGATGTACTAAATTTGGGGTAAAAGTAACTATAATTTCTCATGAAGCATCACTTAAAACCCATTTAAGTGCCATACAACCTTTTGTACGTATACATACATACATTTTAACTTTTTTCACTTGCTGTACCCAAATTATTACTAAATTAATTCCACCAACCTCTTCCCCCTAAATAGAGCGACTGAGAGAGGGTGAACTGACCAGACAGTCCAGTTGGGCCATGGGGCTTTTGCTGCCCGGCTGGCTGATGTCCCACACTTTGACGCAGCCTTTGCCGCCGGTGTAGACGTGCCGCGTGGAGGTGCTGATGGTGACGGCGCACACCACCTCTCCGTGGCTGAGGGTGTGGATCTGGCGGGCGTGGCGAGGGATGCCAGGGCCCAGGAGGGCATCAGGAGGGAAGGGCACCGGCTGCATCTGCCCATCCGCACTCACGTGGAACGAGTAGGCACTGGAGAGAAGGTGAAAGAGAAAGGTTGAGACAGAGATAGAGAAAAAGAAAGAAAGAAAGAGTGAGTGAGGGAGAGAGTGTTTTATCCCCCCCCCGAAGTTCATTTATAACTTATGAGTGGTTTTATGTACCAAAACAATCATAACTCATTTTACATGACCATTTTCAACTTGTCTTTATCTCTTAGAATTAAACAGGTTATTTGGTTACTGTACCTTTAAGACTGATATATGAAATGGCCTCTGGCTTCTGATTGGGTTCCCTGAGGTTATATACCTCATTCTAAAAGCTGTCTGGACCGTTTCTAACGTCTGGAAGCTTTGGAAGGCAGCAGTGACACATTTTTCTTTCCAACAGCCAGGAACAGCACAACATTTAATCATTTTGTGACATCACAGCCATGATGAACTAAAACGGGGCCATTTTTGCAGCTTAGATTATATAAACATAGACTCTATGGATTAGGGATGTTTTAAAATGTTTAACAATGGGTACAAAGTACATTAAACTCTATTACTCCCAAAAAGCATTCTTTTGCGAGTGTGTGTAATACTGGCCCTTTAACTCCCCTTAACTCCGTTACCAGTTTTTTCCGGAAAGGCTACTGCAACAGATACAGGATGCACAAGGCAGACCAAACCAAACCAGGAGAATGAAATGCTGGTAAGGTCTTTATCAATCAGTTGGAATCCACAAGTGTGTCTTGTATTGGAAAAACAAGGACAGAACCCAGCAGAACTGCAACAAGAACGCGGTTTGCCTTGAACAAATCCAAAATTCTAGAAGTTTAATACACAATAAATGCTCCAAGGCTTCAGTGACTGAATTAAAGCTGCACAAAATGTAACAGCAAGAGCACTTTTTACGAATACGAGTCCACGGCACATACAGATGACTAGAAGGGTAGAATGAATGAACAGGTTTTAACTGTCTTAACTAAGAGGGCTGTGGAATAAAAAGAGTCAACTGAAACCTGAAACATCCACAGTGCTGTGCAAAAAATCAGAGGCCCTTGTTTCATTTATTGAATTTAATTTAATTACGTTATTCATTTTTCAGGATATATTTCTGAGGATATTAGATTACACACCAGCATACAGAAAGAGAAAGTCAGAGCAAAATACATAAAAAAAGAGGTTTCCAAAACTGAAATTCAAAAAATGTAGAAAAAATTCAAAGAAACAGAGAAAATGAGACTCCTAACAACAGTGCAAGACCTGGTAGACCACCAAAACTGCTCCCTGCAGATAAACAGCACTTTTTCATCTTTGAGAAAGAGGAGAACATCAAGCTCCACTCTTGCTTCAGATCTGAACAAACCACAGGTGTTAACTGAGCTGGTAGGCTTACAACAATACATGGATCATGAGAAGCAGGAAATGCAACCAACTTCTAAGACTGAACTTTGGAGGTGTGGAAAAATATTCCTGCTGATTTCTTCAAAAACTGAAAGCAAGTTTCCTGAAAAGAATGGACGCTGTTATAAAGGCACACATTGGACACACTAAGCACTGAAAATATTAGTATTATATTTTAGCTGTAGACTTTTCTGCATCATTTGCTGTTTGATGTAAGTTTTCTGCCTTTTTCCTGATGCTAAAAAATGAATAGCGCACTTGACAGCCATTTTGATTGGAAATGAACTGAATGACGGGTGGCCTCAGACTTTTGCGCAGTAGTCTATATCTCTGAATTTTAACATTAAATGGAAACAATAAGCTGTACTGTTTCTCTATTACTGACCACAGACATGCCACATGGTTCACAATGAATACAGAGGCTAGACTTAGTTGTTTTCATAAATATTTAAGCCATCACATTTTTATAGAATGAACGAGCACTTCTGGATCATCCCTCTAAATTCACCGTGTGTGAGGCTGAATACAAAGAACTGACAAAAAAAGAGAGAAAATAAACACCTGAGTTTTCAACATGAACCATCTGTCGTGTGTATAGATACTTAGTCGGGGAGATGAGCCCTGTAAACACTTCAGTAATGGACATGCTGTTTAGTTAAATGTGAAAACTCAGAGGCTCTGGTGTACTTTGTAGATCCCGCTGATTATTTTTAGAGCTAAATTACAATTTACATCTTTCGCAACAAATGATCTCTTCAAAAAGCACTCACATTTTTCTGTGTGACCCATCTGTGCCTCTCACTCTGGCTGTAAAATTTGTGACGGATGGCTTTTAAAGCTCCATTCTTCAGGTGATCTGACAGGAGTGCCATTGTGTTAAATCAGCCTTCTACTTGAACAAAACACCTTCAAGTTTTGAAATACAGGATTTATAAATTGGGTTGTCAAATTAGCCAGCTATAAAGAGTAAAACTGAACGAGTGCATGGATAGCAATGATCTAAACTTCTAATGCTGTAGTAACAGGTAGCTGAGCAACCCATACGTATGAACATACCCATACATATGGCCAAGGTCCCTTAATACAGGGGTTCTCAACCTTTTCCACCCCAATGCCCACCCGTGTATACAAAGCATAGCGGCCCACAGGAAAAGTAAAATCAGTCTTTTTAAATACAGCTTTATTTTTCTTTTCTTAAATGCTGACACTGAAAAGCCGAGAATATTGGCCTGAAAAAGATCAGATTGGCCATTCTAGCTGACAGTAGGTTTGCAAAATTTGCAGGCATGTTACAACCATAAAATGTGTTTAAAAACACACAGTTGTGATGTTAAAACGGAGGAAAAAGGAAAAAAAAGAACAGAAATGTATGAAGTAGATATGGTGATTTGGAGCTGCAGTCCATTGTGTTTTCACTGAGAATGCTCCACTGACTTTCCCAAAAGAGTAATTGTTTGATCTTGAGATTTCTCTGTAGTTTTGAGGGTTTTTGTGATTCGTTTGAAATAAACCACACTCCACTCACTGGGCTTCTGGTTTAGCGTCATCACAATGAACAATAATGATAAATCTTACTTGATATCTGCTTCTTTCGCATTGGTTTAGCAATTTGAGTTTAACCACTCAGGTCGCTGATGCTCGGCCAAATATACGCGCCGCGATCCATGAGTCGAAATGAAAAGCATCTCTTGGTATTTCATGTCTATTGTTTTTAACAGCAGCTCGTGCTGAGAGTCTGTAAAGAGTCAATTGTTAAAACAGTAGCTGACCGTACGGCGCTGATGTGCCTCAAGAAAAGAAGGAATCGATGAATTGATGAATTTTGATCATAGAACGTGTTTCCATCAGCAGTGAACTGAACAGGGCCTGGTTTGAAGCGGTCTGAGACCTGCGGGTTTCTACCGGACTGGTTCAGCTGTCTGCTGCTGACCCGAAAATGGGTGGAAAAAAGGAAAATAAAGAAAGGGAAATAAAGAAAAAAGTGTGTTATGTCCACACCAAACAAAGCGCCCTGAGAAACTCCAGCTCAGACTGATGACATTAAATCAGCCAGACATTTTTATTTGTTTGTCTCTGTTAATATTTATATTGGTTATACTGTGAAAACGTTTAATTCTTAGATTTTTAATTATTAAGTTAATCTTTTTTCCACTTATGACTTACAGTGACTTTGCAGGCCCACTACAAACTTCTGCCTCCCTTCACGGCCCACTTGTGGTCCACGGCCCACAGGTTGAGAAACGCTGCCTTTACATACAGTCATATGCACAATTATGTTAACACCTCCTCTACAGATAACTTGAATATGCCATTTTTCTGCTCATTTTAGTGCACAACTTCTATTTTTTGCTAACATATTGTAAAAAAAATTACATGCCATAATTTTTACACACTGCACATGTTAAATTCAATAAATAAAAAGTAACTGTGAATTAAAATGTGCAGAAGTGTGTGTTTCTGCTGAGGATGCCCAAACTTTTGCCTGTAAATATGACTGTAAGCTATGCATTAGGGCTGCACAATACATCATTAGTTAATCTCAATCTCAGCCTTTGTGACTCTGAAACTGCAGAAGTCTGCAATACACAACTGAGCCCTCCAACCAATCACAATGTTTTTTACAGTGTGCAGTGAGCATTCTGACCAATCACAGCTCCAGATGAGTGTTTCTGTGGGTGTTTGAATGAATCAAAGTATTCACATAAACCAATAACCCAATAAACAAACAGTTTTGACCGAAATAATGCAGGCTAGTCTTTAACCAGGTCAATACTGACTCACCAAGGCATTTTTAATACATTTCAGATTCAGAGTATGTAGCAAAATGTTCACAATACTAGTACTTTGTGCATATCATGCAGTCCTTCTACACACCACTATACATCGCTTCAGATGCCTTCATAAACCAAGCAGTCTACGGGGGCTCATCAGCATGAGGTATAATTAAAAACTTCCTCTTTTTCTTTTTTAATTAAATCCAATGTATCTCATTTTTGCGCTCCCACAGTGCTATTTAGTGAATTCTTCCAGTTATTCTGCATGCTGTGTTGCTTTACAGAATAGACAGACCAAGCTCCAGTCCAGTGTAACTGACCGTCATCAATCAACGGGCATGTGTGTCGAGGCACCACTCAGGCTCTGAACACAAGTTTAATGAATAATGAGCTCCAGTGATGCCTGTGCTGCTTTCTCGAATGACTTTTATTTCATTAACACAGTATCAGTGCTTTCATTCATTTGCACTTTTCCCCCAGCTTTCCATCACATAAACGTACTACGCTATTTTTAAAGTTTGTTAGAGTGTCTGGTGGCACACTTCTGTGATAGATTACTTATTTTAAAAGCGCTGCACCGCATGAGTCATAGAATATTGTACTGAATCAAATCCTGTATGTACTAAATCAATTCCTGTACTGTCCTAAACCAAATCATGTAATGAATCAAATTGTGTACTAAATCCTTTATGTATTAAATCAAATCATGTATTTACTAAATTAATTCCTGTCCTAAATCAAATCATGTAATGAATCAAATCCTGTACGGAATCACATCCCATACTAAATCAAATCCTGCACTGTACTAAATTAAATCCTGTACTGTCCTAAATCAAATCATGTACTACATCAAATCCTGTACGGAATCAAATCCTTTACGAACTAAATCAAATCCTAGTACTAAATTAATCCTGTATTGAATCAAATCCTGTAATACACTGAATCAAACTGTGTACTCAACTCTTCTGAAATCAAACCCCATACTGTAGTGAATCAAATCTGCTCCTGTACTGAATCAAATCCTCTATTGTAATGAACCAAATACCATAGTAAAATGCAGTGTTTTAGTGTTTTTTCTGCCCTGTTTAGATTAGATTCATCAGCTCTTTTAAGCCCCTCAAGTGACATAGCCTGGAGACACACCAAACCAAGTCATTGGCAATGTATTGTTTCAGCATTGTAGGAATTCACAGCTTGTGCAATGTGAAAACAGCAAAAAAGCAAACAAACCAAGCCAGAGAAAATGTCCCACTACACCAAGTAATTTGGCTAGTGATAAACACAGGAATGATCAAAGTATGACAACCATAGCTGTATATACAACACAGGTACCAACATGACATTTGGACAGGAAAGAAAACAAACAGCATTCTGTGAAGACCAGCAGTTTCAGCAGGTGATAGAGAGGAGCTCTGCTGTCTTAAGAACAAAACATGTGAGATGTTTAACAGCGTAATGTGACCAGTTACAGACAATACACAGCACTGAGTGTTTCTACTGTGTCCAGGAAAAGGCCTGAACAGCAACAAAAACAAAAAAAAAACCTACTACACCCAAATCATTATTCCAAGTGTACATTCTTGTGTAGGTGTTTGTGTTTGTGTATGAGTGAGCATCCACAATCTTGCACACATACTTGTCTTAGCGTGTAAACACAATTTGAGAACTGAAGAACGCTTATCTTAACTCAAGTGATTCACACAATAATCGTTAGCTAAGTGCTTAAGAAAAGACTTCATTACAAACACAACAAATGTCAGCATCCTTTCCAAATAACAGTGTTATCCAGACCATGGACCGTGGAACGTATTTCTGATATGTGAGGCCAGGCAAGCTGGTTTCCGTTTAGGGCACTTTATTCTGTTGCTTCATGTGTATGAAGATGTCCATTTAACCAGCTTTCACATTTCTGTTTTAGACTGTTAGTGTGTGCAGAGAGCAGCCTGATCAGTTTAATTCAAATTATTTTACAATTAAACAAATAAATCATGAAGAAGCAGAGGCCAAGAAAAGTTTAATTTTATTGTGTGTATAGTAATACAGGAAGGCTCAGAAGGATTATATAATTCTGTTAAGCAACTGTATTTTCATGCAACAGAATGGGTAGGATAACACTTTTATACTGAGAGTACAGCACTGAGTGAAAGCCACAGACCACCCTTCTTTTTTTAATTTCCAGTCAAAATGGTCAGTAAGCACAAGGTATTACAAAAAATGCAACATAAAATTATAGATATAACATACAATTTGTCAGTTTTTAGTGTGTCCAAGGTTTTGCCAACATTATAGCTTCCCTTCTTTACTCAGCAAAGGCTTCTTGACCTTGAGCTGTCTTGACCTTCTTGACCTTGAGCTGTCTTCTCACAGTGGAAGGATGGATAGAAACACTTATGGATTTTTACAGATCTGAAGTAAGAGTGGAGCTTGATGTTCTCCTCTCGTTCAAATAGGAAAGCTTTAAGTGCTGTTTATCTGATGGTGACAGTTTTGGTGGTCTACCACCCATGTGTCAAACACAAGGCCTGCCACACAATCCTATCCTCCCCGCAAATTATTTTAGTTTTCTATTAATATGAGGCCATTTTCCAATGTGCTGCACTACAATCCCCAGCATACACTGCAACGCAATGTGTGCTTCTCCCCCTTTCCGCCAACAACAATCCATAGGACAGTGGTTACACCACAATCCTACCACACCAGTCATATCACTAAATGCACTAGCTGCGATTCAGCATGCCAACCAATATAAACACCTGGCCAGCTAAGAAATACTTAGCTAGCTAAAAATGACCAAAAGAAAAGTGGACAGTGAATGCAGAGGTTTTCAAGACAGGTGGGAGCTTGAATACTTTTTTACTTCCAATCTGTCTTGTTTGTGGAGATAATGTGGCCATACTGAAAGAATTCAACATTAGGCACCATTATGACACAAAACACTGACAAATATGGAGAGTTGGATAGACAATGAGTAGGCTATGTTTACAAGGGCCAAATCTCAAAGTGAGAATGTAGTAAAAGCCAGTTTCATCATGGCAGACAAAATAGCTAGCTGACGTAGTGTGGCCAGAGAAAACACAAGCATCTGTGGGGTGGACTCCAACTTATCAGCTACGGAAGAGCTTCTGGGTGTTTAAATTTTGTATAGCCCATTTAATGTTTGAGTTTGACACCCCTGGTCTACCAGGTCTTGTAAGGTTGTTAGGAGTCTCAGTTTCTCTCTATGTCCAATTTTGGAACAATTTTTTCTTTTACTTATTTTCCTTTGACATTCTTCTTCCTTATTTAAGTGCATTATCTAATCTCAGAAATCTCCTGGACAATGAATAACTCGTGCTTAGTAGCTGTTTTGAGCAGAAATCAAGTAAATAAATTGTGTTCTCTGACTTTTGCACAGTACTGTACATGGATAGACACCGACTTTGTACAATAATAGGCTCGTGACACAGGTCTGGCCACAGCCCGGGTGCCCCCCTCATTCAGCGGTCCATGGTCCACACCTCACCAGCTGTGTAAAATAATCCCAAAAGGACGTTTAGGAAGGAAGCCTGAAGGAAAAGCCTTAAAGGCAGAAACTCACGGCTTGCCCCCACTGGAGCCAGGCAGGGAGGAGGACAGCCCTGAGGGCCTGAGGTGAGAGCGCGATTCATACGCCACCTGCAGGACACATAAGTATAGATATATTTTAGGCAAGCACTTGATCCACAGTGGCACTCAGTAAACACTGCAAGCTTTTTGTGGTGTGTAAGTGATTCTCAGTCTAGTCCTGAAAAGCCCATGACCAGCACATCTTTACATTTCTCTGTTCTAACACAACTGACTGAAATTCTTACTGAACCTATTCATTGAATCTGATTGGTCGGAGCAAAGGAGACACTGTGCAGTGCAAAGGGGCGCCATAACAGAACTACCCGTGTATACAGCCTGTATGTGTGTACTCACCATGGGGCTGCGTGTGTAGGCACTGGCTGCAGTACTGATTTGGGGCGAGAGGGTAAGGGAGCCCCCAAAACTGCCCGGACTGGCCAGCTCTCCGTTCAGTCCGGAGTGAGACACTACCCCGAAATGAGTTGGGTAAGAAGCAGGGGTCATGGATAGAGGACTGCGCAAAGCTGAAAAAAATAAACACAGCAACACATTCAAATGAGTGGTTTTCCCTCCATAGCTGATGTACCAGTTGACCAGTAACATATGCTGACCCACACTATATATTCAAAAGTCTGCAGCCACCTGCTCATTTAGTGTTTTCTTAATAGAGAGTTTGTTCTCCCTTTGCTGCAGTAACAGCCTCTACTCTTCTGGGAAGGCTTTACACTAGATGTTGAAACATTGCTATGAGGATTTGATTGCATTCAGTCACAAGAGCATTACTGAGGTCAGGTACTGATGTGGAATGATCAGTTCTGGATCACTCCAACTCCCCCTTGTCTCCCCCTTGTCCAACTGCTCCACGGCCCAGTGCTGGGGCGCTTTATACTCCTCTAGCTGATGCTTGGCATTGGGCAGGGTGACCTAAGGCTTGTGCATCTGCTTAGAGCCTCTCATTCTACTGGCAATGCTTTTCAACAGAGTAGAAATTCAATGCATTACAAGCAATGTGTGCACAATCGCACATTGACATTATAAAAAACATATCTAATAACTAATATTATCAAATATTGCAATTTTTGGTATTAATTACAGTCACAAAACCTACATATTTGGTCAACCCTAACTGAAAAGCATCTTCTGACATTGTGTTTAATTATTTTTTCACTCAGCTTTTTAAAACGTGGAGAAAAGTGCAGGTTCTAAACTTTAAATTGATACCATATTTGGGTCTGTAATAAGAAAAGGAATGATTTGATTTTGGGCCCCGTATATTTTCCAGGATATTGAAGCAAGCAGAAAAAAGTGAGAAGTGCAGACTGAAACCTGTTGATACATAATGTAAATCGAATGTAAGTGTAATTCATTTTGTAACTAATTATGCAATTTATGTATTTAATTATGTAATTGCATTGAAATAACTACAGAATGTAAAACAAACACCAATAAGACAATGCCTGTAGACGTTTAAGAATTAAATATCATGAGAAACAACACAAAGAACAAGATAACAAAGGTAAACAACATACTTGCAAAACTCATTAAAGTGCATAAAGGTTCTCATCACCTCTTATACCACATTATATAGTCAAGTCCCTATTAAAACTACAAGGACACACCTCCTCCCCCCAGTGCTCATACTGTGTGCTGTGGTCAGCAGGCCTGATAAAGGGTGAAAGGACAGCTGGAGGATGGAACAGCTGTGTCTTACCCAGGGGGTCTGCGGAGGAGGCAGATTTGGTGACCAGCCGCAGACAGGAAGTGCTGGGCCCAGGGAGTCCAGGGGTAAGAGCCTCACGGTGAGAAGGAGAACTACTGCCCGACTTAGAGGAGGGGGACTGGCATTTCTCTGTCTGCTAAACAGCAAAAAAATCCTTAATTCAATTATTGTTCCATAAAATGTGAACAGTCTAGACATAATACACTGCCAAGGACAGGCTGGCCATCAGGACCACTGGGAGAATTCCCGACGGGCCGCTCTATCTGTTGGCAGTGCTGTCGGTCGGCTGTCATTATTTTTTCCACTTCATGTTCAAAAACAAGAACTGGCTAAACGGGAGCCAGCAGAACTTAAAATTCTAGTTCTAGTTCATTTTCCACAGCTGGAACCATTAAAAAAGATTCCAAATGAATTTGGTTTTTGGTTATTTTTTGGCATTTAATCTGGCTAACTAGTTAGCTGGCTTGTTAGTTAGCTTAACGTATTAAAATGATACAATGCTGCACTGTTCTATGCTCACACACTCACACAAAAACATACATACAATGATGTAGCATAAAGCAAATGTTTTATTTTTCTAAAATTTCTAAAAGCGTAAAAAATATGAGTAAAAACACTCATTCTGTGCAGTCTACCATAAAAGCTAATGGCATTAGCGATAACTAACTAGCTTATGTCACCTTATTGTATCGTTGTATCATGATTAACATGTAAGCTTGAGGCCAGTGCATTAGCTTGCAGCGTACATATTAGCTCACGGCTGGCACATTAGATCAGAACACTATATATCTATATATATGTATAGAACATACATATCAAATATTGCATTTTTATAGAGTTGAAATCTCCAATAAACTGATAATAGATACATTAACATACTAACTTGGCACACTGTTCTCCGCTTATTTTTCTGCTGTACTGACAAAATGTACACCACTGCATCCATTCATATTGAATTCTGAACGTTGTGAATTGTTACACCACTCTTTACAAATTCATCATTTTAAAAATACCAATTGATACATGAAAATTTTATTCTAGTGTACATTCGGGTGCACTTATTGGTGATATAATAGTGCCTGGTGACTTTTTCTTCATCCTGAAAGAGTAAAAATTTGCTCAATTGTCATTGTCTTCAGCTGCAAGTGCTTCAAAAGACAGAGGAGAACACCTTCAAGTTCCATTTGATCCTATTGGTACCAATTTTAATCGCATGGAACTATCGGTACTGGACCAATGAGCAGCAGAAAAAGCACATTTCTGGGGCGAACGGTACTTTGTGCTGTGGAAAAACAGCCTTTGGGTACTTAGCTAATTTGCTAACTAGGAAAACTGGTTACTTTATTTAGCTAGACAGCTGTTTTACTACCTTATCTGTAAAACAGCCAGCTAACAAGCCAGCGATACAGCTGATGTACTTCTCCCAAAATATTGTAACCAGTGAGTGTACACTCTTAAAAATATAGGTGCCAAAAAGGACGCTCTTTGAGTGAAAACAACAGGAAAACCACTTTTGGTTCCTCAAAGAACCATATAATGAACTATTCTTGTGAATGAGATATATTAGTATGAAGAACCTTTTGAAGGGTTAAAGAACACTTTAAATGGAAAAGATTAAATGCGTATTTAAAGGTTTTTACTAAATTTTAAGCCAAGAATCATTTGGGAGCCTTTACTTCTTAAGAGTAGACCCTGAAAGGGGCATAAAGATGGCTGCTCTGACAATTAGGGTGGCCTTGTCTATCTAAATGGGAGGAAAAGAAGGATTAAAGGACAACAGCAGTCCAGCAGCAGCCTGAGGCAGCAGGATACCTGTGTAGGGTCCTTGCTCTTGCCCGGTGGGGGGCTGTGGGTGGGGGGGCTGTGAGAAGGGGGTAGGCTGGGGGATCGAGGCAGCTCCTTCCTCAGCATGGGGGCTCTATCTAAACCATTCCCATGAGGAGAGTGGGGGGTGCTGCCCACTGGAGAGGAAGGCTCCTGAAGAGAGAGAGAGAGAGAGAGAGAGAGAGAGAGAGAAATGTAATTAGAGAAAGCTAAGATAGATAGTATTTATTAAAATACAATCAATTCCATTTTCACCATAAAACTGATTCTAATCAGCTCTAGCATGGACACCTGCAATATAAAGTCTCTTATGTCAGGCAATAGCTCTCTCTACCTCTCTCATTCTCTCTCTTTTTTCCTAACACGCTCCTTCTCTTTCTCCCTCTGTCTTTTTCCGCTCAATGATGTTTATCTATTATGCAAGCCTGTGTGTGGAGGAGTGTGTGTGTATTGTTTTGTGTCTGTAAGGCAGGGCACGAAGAGGAAACACATTTCTGTACACGGCTTGAGGAATTTCAAGGATTGAAATATTTCAGAGCGGGGGAGAGTTTAGATTAAACTAATAACGCAGCATTTGCGCTGAACAGTGATAGTAATACACAGTGGCCTCGTTAAACAGCCAAGAAAGGCCTTGCTGTGATGGAAGTCAATGGTGAATTATTAATGTAATAAAATGTACTATTTATTCAGCTACACAGAAAACAGTCGGCAGCTTCATATCAGTAGGCTTTACAGGAGCACACAAATACGCTAACGTTATTTCTGAGAGCCTTTTCATTACTGAGTGGGTACTGGTTTCATAGCTTTTGTTTTTAAAATATTTTAATACTCCATTCTTTGAAATGCTGCAAACTAGTAAAAAATCAAGTGTGAAAATGAATGCCATAATAATAAACATTATAATAAAGGGAAAATTAATAGACAAAATTTAAGTTGGCTCCGAGGTGGATGTTAAGGCCCAGCTAGGCCATTGCTGTTATCCAAGGTTAAGTGTATCTAGGCTGTTGTTATGTTTTCCCAGGTGGTTGCTAATAGGCCACCGCAATGGTATCTGAGGTTGTTGCTAAGGTGCTGCTAGGCTGTTTGTATGTGTTTATTAAGGTGTTGCAAGGCCTTTGTTATGTCATTCCAAGTATTTGCTTAGGTGTTGCTAGGCTGTTGCTACGTTATCCAAGGTGGTTGCTAAAGTATTGCTAGGCCATTGCTATGTGATTCCAGGTGGTTACTAGGCTGTTTTGAATAAATGCTGTGCAATTGGTCCCAAAAGCACAAGTACACTACTCCCATACAGGCTCTACTAAGTCTGCAAAGTTTTCTTTCTCAAAAAAAAAACAACCCATGAAAAAAGCATAGAATAATAATAACAAAAAGAAGACCAGTTAGTTGGTTTTGTCAAGTTTTATCATATGTATGCTAAACACATCTATAGGTATCATGTTTAGCCTGCTGTAAACTGTGCTAAACCAGCTGTCTAAATACTTCACTGTGTTATTGCAATGCTGTGGCCGACTGTGAATTCAGTTATGTATACATGTGTACAATAAAGAGTGTACAATAAAGATTTTGTGGCGACAGGCCTGCGATGCACGAAAAGGCTGACATTCTGCTTGAGTTATCCATCAGTGCTCTGCATTTTCAATGACAATGGAGTCATGCAACCAGAAAAAAAGGCCTCAGCATGTTTTGTCTGGAGAAAACACATCTTAAAGGACAGTCTAGAGCTGTTCACGTCTGGGGAAATGAGGGCAACATGGAATGTCCATTCGTAAAAGTGAGCTTGATATTAATATTTCTGTCTATTATGTGGTAGCTGCCTTGGCTGAGCCAGACCAGTATGGAAGTTAATATATAACTTCTAAACAGTAAATGTTATTTTATTATCATTGCTCTATTGCTGGCTTTTTAGACATGTGTAGTAGTAGTGTTTACATCCCCTTTTAAGGCAATAAATTAGCCACAGTGGAACACAACGCATTGAACATTCAAAGACCACTGATTTAACCTCAAAAAATTATTTATTTGTAATAGCATTATTGTGGCTAGTAAAACATCTTTGATGGAAAACTGTCAATGCTGAATTGTATCAGAGTTACATTTACTCTAAGTACAATTTTGATGTATTTGAATATTTCTGAGTATGATACTTTGGCTCAAGTATATTTCTGAGTACATTTAAATGCTAATTCTTTTTTTGTATTTTTTACACTCTGTTGCCCACACCTCTTACTTTTGACCTTTAGCATTTTATTCTAGACTTAAAGGATGTCAGTAAGTAAAGAAAGGAGCCCAACAAACTTCAGTTCAGTTAAATGCTCAACTTAGTATTTGAGTTTGGAGGCTTTGGAACTGATATAGACTCAAATAGTTTTTTATTAAGCTACTTTTACATCTACTTGAATCATCATTTTAGTAACAAAAAGGTAACAGGACTTTAACCTGAGCATGGTTTTCATCATCTCCACCCACCTCCGCGTGTGCAGAATAAATAACTGTTGTCATACCAAAACTTTTTTCACATCTTTTAAAAACACGAGTTCCGATTTACACTGTGTGAACATTTCATAATGAATAGACCAACACAAATGGCCCAAAATTGAGTGAAAATAAAATCTTGTTACATTAACATGCATCAAAGTTAAGAACATTTCTTCAGTCTCCTATATTTTTACCATTTCAGAGATACAAATTTTGTTATGACAACAAAATGCAGAAGCAAATGAAAGTACTGTTAGCAAATGAAGATGTACCTCATTAGAGACGTCCACCACCAGGTTGTCTTCACTCTTGTCGCCATCACTGTCCTGAGAGAAGGAATGCGAGGTAGAGAATATTAGCGCAAGACAAGCTTACACCTTTTAGCTCCTTGTTGTGATGCCAGCACTCAAACCTTTTAAACCAATCTTAAGCCAAATAGGATTCAGAATGCACTTTTAAATATAGTTTAATAGAAAACTGTCAAATCACCATTCAGGCAAAACACTGAAGGAACACTGAAGGAAAAGAAAGACACTTTCATGAACATGAAGCTCACTGAATATGCGCAAAAGATTAGCACATAGCTGCATTATGTATACATGTTTTCTTGCTTAAGAGAAAAGTAACAGAGAAAAAAAAAAAATAAAAAGGGAAAAAGTGTCCCCAAACTTTTGATGTGTCCATTACTTTCTCTGCCTTCATTCCTTTTATCAATCCCTCTCTCTCTCTCTCTCTCTCTCTCTCTCTCTCACTCGCTTGCTCACTCGCTCTCTCTTTCTCTTCCCATCTCTGGGAATAGGAGGTGACAACGCTGGCACTTAGTCTCCATGGCAACAGGGCTTTGATGTGATCATGGCCCGATGTTCTTATTGACATCATCCTGCTGTGACATCATCACCTAATTATACCTAGCCTGATGGGGTCCAAATCAGACTCCTCTGTGTGTGTGTGTGTATGTGTGTGTGTGTATGTGTGTGTGTGTGTGTACACATGTGCTCATGTGTTTGCCTGTGTGTGTGAGCGCGCTCAAATAAGCAGCAGTTATCTGAGCACGCTCAAATAAACCCACAAGATGCTTCACTCTGAGTAAGACAGAACTGGTCAAAACTCTCTACACTCAGTTACTGCACTGTTAAAAAAAAGTCAGTTCAACTTAAAATTACAAGGCAACTGATTACACTCCTTTCCTTTGGTTAACTCAACCTGATGACACTGGAGTTCATCCAACTCTTCATCAAACAGCTAAAATTTGTTTAGCTCTGCATGTCAGTTAGGTAAATAATACAGAAAGTGTTTTTTTACTCAGTTTTCCCACTAGTTGGCACTCTTTATCACACATTTTTTCCTCTGGAATACTCACTTATGGATGGCTACGGCATCGCTGGGGTTCAAACTCACAATCTCCTGATGAAGTGATAGCTTAGATAACTGGTGGATAACTTAACCACTAAAAGGGCCATATTAAAATTTCAACAAGTCCGTGGACCAGAGAGCACGTGTTTTATTTCATTTTTAATTATCATTTTAAAAAGTGTTTATACTGGCTGAACTGCAGTTAGTTGTTTGGTACTATGACTGGTGTGGAACTGCAGAATTGTATAGAACTGTGTAGAATTGAGGTGTAACAGCTGTCTCATGGATTGTTGTCAAGAGTCAGAGTGCACATTATGCTGCAGTGCATGCTGGAGACTGTAGTGCAGCGCACTGTGAAACAAGCTAATATTAATAGAGAATTAAAGTATTTGCAGGCCAGATAGGATTGTGTCGCGGGCCTGATCTGGCCTGCGGGCCTTGTGTTTGACACAAGGGCCTTAGTCCGTTGCACCCAAAGTTACTCACATTCATGCCCCTAAATGTTTAATAAATTGTAGAAAATATTTGTTGTTTTAACTTTGGTAAGTAGCATGGTCACATGTTGTGCACCAACATCAGGAAATTGTGAGTTTGAAACCCAGCAAAGCCACAGCTGTCCACATCTGGAAGCCCAAGAGGAGAAAATGCCTGATGGGACTGTGTGATGAATGTGACTAGTCATTATTAATTATTTCATGTGTATTAAATACTAATGTAATTCAAATCTATAATAACTGACAAAGGTATGCTGAAATGAGATGCCTGTTATGATTAGGGGTCAGATTGAGGTCATCAGTGTGGGGCGGACGTACGTAATGTGACGGGCCGTCTTTGTCGTCACAGCGCCTCCTTTTGGCATCGTTGCTGCTCTGTGAGGGATAAACACCGGACGGGCCCTGACGCTCCTCCACCGCCTGACTGTCTGTTGATGACACCGATTTACTCTACAAAGAGAGGGAGTTAATACATAACCACATACAGAAAACCCTGTGACAACACCATGTGTCCACACAACACACACAAAACATACTGACATCACACTCATATACAAGCATTTTTGTGTCCAAATCCATTATTTTACTATTACCAATGCAATAAATACATTACACGTCAGACTAATCTGAATTCTGAAACATTTAAAACTGTAACATGTTGAAAAATTAGGCAACTTGGAAAATAACAACTCAATAACAATTCAACTCATTGAAAAAAGAATGAAGAGAAAAGAAAAGAAAGACTTGGTGTGGTGCAGATACTGCACCATAACGAAGACCCCAAGTGATCTTTATGGTGCATTTTTTGAGAAAAAATGTTTTTTTTTTTTTTGAGTAATGGTTAGGCTGGTAGGCTGATTCAGTTTATCAAGTCAGGTGATGTGACCCCAGAAAATCATGTAAATGTGGTATCATTGGTATTATAATAATGTTTATTTATTAGGAAAAATGGTGGTGGTAAAAACCTTTGAGATACAATATTTTTTTATTTGTGTGATGCTGGGCTACTGTACTAAAATGTCTGAATTTTATTCATTTTACTGTGTTTGTAACCTTGTAGAGATAAATGTTCTGTTTCTCTGTAATGCCAACTCCGGTAGATGTACTCCCAGTCTCTACATTTTAATGTATGTAGCAGAATCAGCATTAGCACTCATGGGTACATCAGCATTATCTGACATCGCCATTGATCCACAATCAGTGTAACCCCAGCTGGAATTGTATTGTTTGGCATTATCACATAGAATGTTGTGGTTGGCTGTTTCACATAACTAATAAGAGCTTAGATGGTTGCAGCTGCAGGCTTTACATCGTGCAATGCCAGTGCAATTTAGTTTCACATACATTTCAAGCAAGTTGCGTTTATTCCCACCATGTAAAACCAGCCTAAGAGTGTCTTCTCCAAATCATAATTCTGACCTCCACCACCGTGTGTGTGTGTGTGTTTGTGTGTGTATGTGTGTGTGTGTGTGTGTGTGTGTGTGTGTGTGTGTGTGTGTGTGTGTGTGTGACAGCAAATCTGCCCTTTCAAACACTGAACTTTCTGCAACTGTGTGCACTTTCTGGGCCAAACAGGAAGTGTGTTGGACTAAGATGAGGGAAAAAAGCCCAGGGGTCTCAACAATCCTTCTTCTCACACCTCTCTCTCTCTCCCTCTTTCTCTATCACCCCCTTGCCCTTCTCTATTCTCTCCCTCTCTCTCTCTAGCTCTCCTCTCTCCTTAGTCTCTCTCTCTACTTCTCTCACTCCCACTCTCTCGCATGTTCTCCCCTCCTCTCCCACTCTCCTTCCCTTCTCTCTCTCTCTCTCTCTATCCTCTCTCCCCTGCTCTCTTTTACTCCCCTCTCCCTCTCACTGTACCTCTCTCTTGCACACTCTCCTCTCCTCTCTCTCCTTCTTGCTCTTCTTCCCTTGTTTCTCTCTCTCTCGCGCTCTCTCTTGCACCTTCATTCAATGGCATCAAATCACCAAACAAAAGCTAACTGCAGCTCTATGCTCTCTCTTCCTTTCTCTACTTTACCATCTTTTGAAAAACATTTTTTTGGTAACCAGATTCTAAAAATGAGAAAACAAGAAAACAATTAGTCTCTTTTTTATTTTTGAAACTGCTAGTTCTGTGCATTAGTTCTGTCAACACAGACAACACTTAATACACTGCCCTCTTCTCCTTCTGTTCTATATAGTCCCCCCCCCCACTCTCTTTCTCTTTCAGACTTCAGTCACCTCTTATTGTTACTCTGATTGAACAAACGCTTTCCGCTTCTAAAAAAACCCTACTAATTAGCACCGCACTGAAAGGAAAATTCTTGGCAGTAACCGAACTCACAGCACCGAAATACAAGCTAGTGAGGGAAGAACACTGTTATTTCTGATAAAGTCAGTCCTTTCAATAGGACAAAACTGAGCTGATCATAAACAGAATTTAGAGAATAGGGTTTACATAAAATAAACTTTATAAAGCTATTAGAGTGTCTACATACGACAGCGTTTTAGGGCCACTATAAAAATAATAGACTTCGAGAATAAAGTCGTAATATTTCCATAATAACGTTGTAATATTTCTAGAATAGAGTTGTCTTTTTTTTAAAATAAAGTCGTAATATTTTGATAATAAAGTCGTAATATTTTGATAATAAAGTTGTCAAGTTACAAGAATAAACTCAAGGCGATATTTTGAGGATAAAGTGGGCTAATTGTATGGGGGCTGCCGTAACGTGTTGGGGTCTCAGTTGCTGTACTGGCGACAACAAAGACACCGAGCCTGCCGGAGATCCGGTCCGGTTTGCACAGCCATTTTAGCCGTTTCTTATACTAATAATAATAATAATAATCTGGTGCTGATGTGCCAGGAGACAGGGAGACTGAGCATTTCTTTATTGGTGAAACCAATGCAAACAATAACTCTACCAACTCCTCAACGTCCCTCATTTTAACACGAGGAGGTCGCTACCCTCCTTTGTGCGCAAAATATCTTACAGTACAACTTTTTATCTCAAAATATTACTTTATTCTCAAAGTCTAATATTTTTCATTTTCTAAACAGTGGCCCTACAACGTCATCGTATCTAGATAATCCAGCGCCCTCAACAACAGAGTACAAGAATGAATTCTATTACTTTTTTTAGTTATACACTGATGAGCCAAAACATTATGACGTGATGTTTTGACAGATGAAGTGAATAATGTTGATTATCTCATAGCGACAGCACATGTTGAGGTCTGGGATATATTATGACAGGTTTTCGTAGTCGACATGTTGGATGTGGGAGAAACTGGCAGGCGTGAAGACCTGAGCAACTGACAAGAGCCAAATCACTATGGCTAGACGACTGGGTCAAAACATCTCGAAATGGCGATGTTTGTGGGGTGCTCCTGGTCAGCAGTGGTGAGCACCAACCAACTGTAGTCAAATGGGGGATGAACCAGAGTAGACGGGTCAGTCCATTCATGCTAAGCCCCATATACAGTCAAAAGCATCTACAATGTACTTGAGTTGGAACTGGACAGTGAAGCAATGGAAGAAGGTCTCTTGGTCTGATGAGTACTGTTTTCTTTTACATCATGTGGATGGCCGGGTGTGCTGTATACCTGGGTGATGGGCCCAGGATGCACTACGGGAAGATGACGAGCCAGTGGAGGGAGTATGATGCTCTGGGTATTGTTCTGCTGGGAAACCCTGTATCCAGGCATTCATGTGGACGTCAATTTGACACATGCCGACCTAAACATCGTTGCGGATCAGGCACACCACTTCATGGCAGTGGTATTACCTGCTGGCAGCAGCCTCTTTTAATGTGCCCTGTCACACTGCACACACTGTTCAGGAATGGAGTGAGGAACATGTCGAAGACCTTAAGGTGTTGGCCCGGCCTCCAAATTCTATTCACTTTCCTTCATCAGGGTGCAAACATTGTTCTATTCCCTCAAAGGTACAACAGAGTTTTTAAGGTCTGATTGTGAACTTTCATTAAGTTTTTTCCAGTTGAAAAGTATGTATTTGTATTTTTCCAAAATCTAATGTTTTAAAACAGAGCAATAAAATAAAAAGCCTGGAGACAAAACGGGGTGTGTGGAGTCAATACAACTTTACAATTTTAATGGATTATGGTACAATTATGATCCCTGACTAAAGGTACTGAGATGTACCCTCTGGTACATCTCAGTACAGTTCTGTACCTTTTCTGAGAGTGTAGATTTCAATCCGATTGCGCATCTGTGAGATGCGCTGGAAAAACAAGTCCAATTCACTACGGCTCCACCTCAAAACTCCATATATACTGCTAATGTTTTGGTTTCAGAGGCCATTTGGTCCAGCATATTAGGAGGAGATAGCGTCTTGGCAGTTCAGTGTAGCCAATTTACTCACTATCCAAAATGACCAGTGAACCTACATGCATTCTCTGAGCTGTTTATGTATGTTGATAATGACAAAGTAGTAGTAAATCTGAAAAAAAAAATTCTTGGGACTATTTTGCCTTACAATGCCCTGCATGTACTCACGGCCATGAACGGACACGAAAAATACGATTTACATCTCAAACCCATCACAATACAATATCTTACCATTTCCTGTAATAACTTTCTGAGAGGGAACTTTCAGAGGCATCAATACTTCGGACATCTGGTTCCTATCATCACCACTGTGAACAATTCTGAGCTTTTCACACCAAACCACTCTAAATGACAATGCTTACATCTTAACCACTTAGAATTTTGATAAATGGGTGGAATTCCCCTTCAATGTATTAATAAAGAGTTTTACAAGGAATGAGAGTCTTTTTACTACTCTGCTATTTTGCTGTTTTTGTCAATCAGTTTGTGTTTGAAAATAAGCGCCAAATAATCTGAGCTGCAGAGAAGGTAAAAAGAAAGAATGGACTCATATATGACTATTCCTTTCTTTAAACCCTCCATATTTGGAGTCATTCATCAAAGTCACTGGGGTGGACACACACACACATACATACAGGTCTGTAACTCACCCTGCTGGGCGCACCCTCTGAGAGCAAAGAGAGAGAGAGAGAGGGAGAGAGAGGGAGAGAGAGGGAAAGAGAAGAGTCAGGGAGAGACAGAGGAGAGTGAAAGAGCGAGAGAGAGAGAGAGAGAGAGAGAGAGAGAAACAGAGAGAGGAGAGAAGAGAGGGGGATTGACGTCAGTCTAGATAATAATAACAACAGTCCCCACAGCAAGCCAAGGTCATGGTGAAAAAGCCGTCCGGCTGCTATAAAAATACATCTATTGTATTGAGCTCCACTCCCCATCCCTCCTGCACACGGGCTACAGAGCCAGCAGGACACACAGCAGAGCAGAGCAGAGTGACACTACTGCACCCAGACACTGCATCTCTCTCTCTCTCTCTCTCTCTCTCTCCCAATTGAACATCTCTCACTCGCTTTTCTCAGCTTCCTCTGACATTTGCAGAACAGTGAACACGAGCCTTATGACAGCTGCGGACATCCGCAGAACCTCAGGTTTCTTGTAGCAATCAAAAACATGAGAACCTCTCACTGATATTTAATTTGAAGCCATCCTGTGCAATTGATGAATCTTAAAAATGCTCCAAAATTGCTTGGAGTAAAATCTCTCTACTTTAACTGGCTTTAAAAGTAAAGAACATTTTTGCCCTACTTTTTGGATATACCTGTTTTTTTCCACAGTGACGATCTGTTAAACACTACTGTGATATCAGCATTTGCGCTGTTGATACTGCAGAAAGCTATAATATTCAGATGATCCCTCTAACAAATTTGAAACAGTTTTAGTCAGAATAATGTGGGCTAATCTTTAATGATGTCCTATCAAAGGATGTGAGGCACATCGCAATCACAGTACGTAGCAATATAATCGCAATGTGGTGTTATGCCCCGATTCTGCAGCCTTGAGAAGGAGAAACATATTTAACATAGTTTATCAATATTAATATATTTTTGGTATGTTTAACTTTACTGGGTTACTAAATGTGAACTCTTTTGTATTTAATGAACTGAGTTTAAGCATTTAAGAAAAACAAAAACTGCTTTTTGTCCTTCGGTCTTTCATACGCAAATCTCACTCAAAGGCACTATGGGTATCTTACTATGGGTGGGAGATAAAACTTTACGATATGGTTATAAATTGGATATAAATTATGTCACGATTATGTTTAATTACATTTATAAAATTTTTCCTTTGATATAAGGTATTGCTATAATTTTAATGAATACTCTGAACTTATATTGCTGTTACTGAACAGTAACAGCTTGAAAAGTGGTCTATTAAAGCAATAAGCCACGAGAGGCTGTGTTTATCCAGTAAAAACCACTTTGCATCGTGCCTAAGAACACCCTTCCCCTGATAAAATCGCATTAACGTACAGCCTCAAGTGGCTTATTGCTTTTAGAAAATGGCAGCCAATGTATATGATAAAATACACAACTTTTCAGAAAATAATTTAAGTTAGTATTAATAATAATCGACATAAACAAGTATTCTGCCAAGAAATGTAGTTCCTTTAGAGTCTGGTATCATTGCCAAGCAACTGCTGAATGAGGAGAATGTTCGATCCCCCATCGCTGTATATTGTGGTCATTTCATGAATTCTTTAACTTTTGTTGTATTACAATGAACGTATGATAATAAAGCGCTATTTAACGCAAAAACTACTGCTGTATAAGTACTTTTTGGTCACCAGATTACCTTCCTGAGTCTTATTTAGCACGAATTCAGCTGAGCCCCTCTTCTCACTCTGGGGCTGAATCTCAAATAGCTCCCTGCTCCCTACATAGTGCACTACGTTGGAATTTAAAAACTGGATCCTGCACCCCAACAGTGCAAAATACACTTAAGAAATAGAAATTTGGAACTCAGCCACATCCGTACTTGATAAATGATGCACTATTTGGCTGTAGAGGCTAGAATTTCTAAACTTTCATAGCTGGCACACTATTAAGGGAGTACAGAGCCATTTGGGATTCAGCCTGGGTTTGAGTATGGCTTCAGTAATTAGTTCAATGCTTCATTGCATGTTTCATTAACAAGGACACAAATGCAAAGCACTGATCCAATAAAGCATCAAAAGATATTCTGATATCATTAGACATCAAATGGTGGCCCTTTGTGGAGAATTTTCTGTCTGCTAAATCTGAGCGAGTGAGTTAAAAGCTAGTTCAATGTGGTGCTTTGCTCCTAAAAAAATTAACATGGGCTAAAGACCGCATAACTGGTCCACCTTAACTGGCGCAGCAAAACACTGAACAAAAAACATCACTGTAGTCTTGAGAGCATCTTTGTAAAATGTGGCTCTGCTGTTTAGCTGGTGCATTTTGTCTGTTCCAACTGTTTCACACCCTTAATAAGTCCAAATTCTGTGTTACGTATTGTGAATTGTGACAATATCTTAAAATACTGCATGGCCTCTGGAGTCCAACAGCAGTAATAAAGTGGACAGAGAGAGTGCCCCTCTCGCCTCCCCTCCCGCACCACAAACACACCTCGGAGGTGCTCTGCGTCCAGGTGATTGCGCTCATCTTTGCCGGTCAGGTGAGCGGACACTCCGAGTGCTCCGGTGAGGGCTAGCAGGCCTGAGCCACCCCCCAGGGCCAGTCCGGACGGGTGGGGGGTCAGAGGAATACCCGCAGTGTGGTGGGACAGATGCTGGAGCTGCTGCTGCTGAGAGAGAGAGAGAGAGAGAGAGAGAGAGAGAGAGAGAGACAGGGGCACACACAGAGACAGAAGCAGAAAGAGAGACAGACAGCAAGAGACAGAGACACAGAGAAAGGAGAGGAACAGAGTGAGATACAGAGTGAGAGAGACAGAGTGAGAGAGAGAGACAGATGGACAGACAGAGAAAAACAGCGAGAGAGAGAGGGCAGAGAAAGAGACAGAAGAGAGAGGATGAGAGAGGGAGAGAGAGACAAACAGAAAGAGAGAGACAAACAGAAAGAGAGAAACAGAATGAGAGACAGAGAGAAACAGACAGAAAGAAAGAAAGAGACATGTGAGACGGAGAGGGAAGGATAGATAGATAGATAGTTAGATAGATAGATAGATAGATAGATAGATAGACAGCAGAGACAAAAGAGGCAATGAGGAAAGAAAAAAAGAAAAACAGATAAAGCAGATAAAGCGAGGCTGTTCTGCTGTGGGTTAAATGACTGCCTGTGTTGTTCTGTTCAGTGTGTTCAGTGTGTGTGTGTGTTATTGAGACTCTCTCTCCAGCACACCGCTTTTCTCACTTCTGATCATATTACTCCACTTAAGCCCCATTGTTAGAGCTCCCACAGTACAATAACAGTACAGAGAGAGGGAGCGAGAGAGAGAGAGAGAGAGAGAGAGAGAGAGATGAATGCTATTATCTACTGTGAAATGTGTTTATGTGTTTCTGATCTTATGTGTGGATCACAGTTGAAAACTACCCAGAATCCCTTACATGTGCTCATAATGGAAGTACATACTGATTCCACCCATACAATAGGAAATATATACTGAAAATATATTACAATTAGGACCGTTGAATGTGAAATAATCAATGATCTTGTGTGATTAACCATGACAAACAGTATGTCTGTTATTTGTTGAAATGTGATCCTAAAGTGTGTTCACATGAAAATGACATCACTTATACAGAGTGAACACAGTTTTCCAATTTTTAATCATTGAGCAATAGTGTCTGCACGTTCCAACCAATGAGTGTATACACGCTTATGCAAAAGTTTGGGCGCCTTGGTCATACAACATGTTTTGTTGATTTTTTAAGTGAAAATTAGGTAACACATCCTCTATAGAAAAATCTTAAACATGGCATCTGCTGCAAATGTTAGTGCACTATTGCTACTTATATTCTGTGTATATATACATATATATATATATATATATATATATATATATAACAGAAACTATACATATATTGCTGCTGTCTAAACAAAACCTCAGATCTCCATTTTTGATGTTTTTAAGGTTTTTTTTTTATATTGAGTGTACATTTTGTGATGGACAGACCAACAGAAATGACCCAAAAATATTTGAAAGTCTGGTTTCATTGACTTACATTAAAAGCAGAGTACGTTTTTCCTTCTCCTGTGAAGTTCTCATTTTGGAGATAGGATTTATATATATATATATATATATATATAATGTGCCATAACTTTTGCATAGGCCATTTACTATTTGTTCCTAATATGTTCAATTAAGCAGACAACCAGTAATTGTGTATTAAAATGTGTAGTAGCGTGTTCTTTGTAGAAGATGTGTAACTTATTTTCACTTAGAAAATCAACAAAATATGTCATGTGACCAGGGGCAACAAACTGCACAACTGCATGAGAAGGTCAGAGGTCACTCACCCCAATGATGGCATTCAGCTCCGCCATGGTGACCTGTTTAGCCCGCTCCACAGCCTGCACCACCTGCTGCTGGTGCTAAACACACACGCATACGGAGTTAGAGACTGTAAACAAAGAACGAAGAGAACACAAATATACACAAGACGACGGGAAACAGCAACACAGGTGACGAGTAAAGAAACGCGCACAGGCACACGCGCTTACGCTCACACACATACCACAAACAATGACCTCAACCACACACATAACAAACAACTGTGATGCAAACCATAAAACAAACAGTCAAACACAAAGGCAAACAGAGGAAGGGGGGAGGCACATATTTGCACCCTGCTTCCACACACACACATTCAAAACACCTGCATGCACACACACACACACACACACACACACACATATGCGTTCACTGTAAACATAGACTGAGTACACATCATCCTGACCTTTCCTGTCAGTGAATCCAAGCTCACAGTAGTGACCATAGCAGCCTACTTTATCAGAGAGCATTTACTCAGTGAATCAGGTTACATCTTACACAGCTGTACGTGGGTTCATGTTTGGTCTCACGTGGGTGTACATGGAATACGGTTTTGTCTCACGCAGCTGTACGTAGGTTCTTGTTGTGTCTCACGTACATGGATTTAGGTTTTGTCTCACACAGCTGTACATGGATTTGTTTTGTCTCATGTAGCTGTACATGGGTTCATGTTTTGTCTCACGCAGCTGTATATGGATTTATGTTTTGTCTCACGTAGCTGTACATGGATTTATGTTTTGTCTCGCGTAGCTGTACATGGATTTATGTTTTGTCTCGCGTAGCTGTACATGGATTTATGTTTTGTCTCGCGTAGCTGTACATGGATTTATGTTTTGTCTCACGTAGCTGTACATGGATTTATGTTTTGTCTCGCGTAGCTGTACATGGATTTATGTTTTGTCTCGCGTAGCTGTACATGGATTTATGTTTTGTCTCACGCAGCTGTACATCAATTTACGCTTTGTCTCACGTAGCTGTACAAGGATTTATGTTTTGTCTCACGTAGCTGTACATGGATTTAGATTTTGTCTCACGCAGCTGTACATGAATTCATGTTTAGTTTCACACAGCCGTACATGGATTCATGTTTTGTCTTTTCTCTCACATTTTATCTTTTGTAGTTTCTCTCAGTGTTTCTTCTTCCTCTTGCTTTTAGGGAGTTTTTCCTGCCACAGTTGCCCTTAGCTGCTCATAAGGGACTTTTACCTACACTCCTGTAAAGCTGCTTTGGGGCAACATCGTAAAAAGTGCTATACAAATACAACCTATTTCTATAAATCGACTGTTATAATTTCTTTGCTCTGAACAATAAGTGAATAGCGACAAAGAAAGTAATTCATTGTGTAACAAATTTAAGAGTAAAATGTGGTCATAAACATATTCAACCCACACACATTACAGAAAGCTAACTGAGGAATGGCTTTAACAAATGTTTTGTTTCCAGAAGGCCTGAACGGAAAAGAAAACAAGTGAATAATTCAGCAACTTCTAATGAGTTTTTGAAAGACTCTTATCAGGACTGCACTGTTAGTGTGTTTCTCTGTGGTTCTTAATAGAAAGAAATATGACAGTAATAAATTCGTACTGCTAATATTCTTACATCACTGTGGAATCTCATCAAAGGAGAGGCAAGAGAAGGCTAAACAAGCCCAACCTTTGAAGTAGTGAGTGGAAAATGCACCTGACGCACGCACGTAGTGTAATTAACACTCTGTTTTCCTTTACTCACATGAAAATTAGTGGCCTTGTGTTTCTGTGACACAGTGTGGAAAGAAAAGAGCTCCCAAGACATGAACTCAACCACTGAATTCTTCTTCAGTCATTTATGCATCCAGTGCCCTTCATGGCTGTTTAAGTGGGTGAAGCAACAGGGTTGGTAGAAGTGGTGTATCATATAAAAACATCAGGGCAGAAAAGGATACAAAAATACAAGCAACTTGAAGTGCTTCAGGGACAGTCTGAGTAAACAGCACTCGTCTGAGAAACGACTCTTCTAAAGAAGTAGCTCATTTGCGTAAACTTGCGTTACAAAAAAGCAGTTACACAATCTAATGCCACATAAACTAGTTATGTAAACTACTGTCACACAAATTACTGTAACACAAACTGTTACACAAATTACTGTTATGTAAACTACTGTAACACAAACTACTGTTACATTAACTGTCACAAACTACTGTCACACAAACTACTGTTATGCAAACTACTGTTACATTAACTAATGTCACAAACTACTGTCACGTAAACTACTGTTGTGCAAACTACTGTCACACAAGCTACTGTTACGCAAACTACTGTTATGTAAACTACTGTCACACAAACTACTGTTACGTAAACTACTGTCACGCAAACTACTATCACACAAACTACTGTTATGTAAACTACTGTCACATAAACTACTGTTACATCAACTACTGTCACAAATTACTGTCACACAAACTAGGCATTATGAAGCTGGAGCCATAAACAGCTGTGATGGGGAAGAATTCTACAAATTCTAGAATTCTAAAATTCTAGAATTTCTACCATATTTCACATATTTCTATAAATTTTAGAACCACAAAAATTCTTTTAGAATTCTAGAAATAAAAAAAAACATCCTACCAAAATTTCTACCAATTCTAAAATTCTGCAAATTTAGAAATAACATTAATAAACAAATCTTTTTGTGTCCAAAAATACAAAAATTCTACCAATTCTAGAAACAGCTACAACTACATTTTTTATTACTACATTATTTTCTAAAGTGACTGGGTTTGAGTCACAGTCAGTGAAGACCACAGTCTGTGTTTGTTTTAGCTACACTGCTCAGTTAAATGACATCACTTTACTCTGAAACAGTAGCTGCTTTTGAAATTTTGTGATGTCAAACAAATGTCTGAGATTTAGCTGACACTCACAGCTCTGATTCAGCTGGAGACGTGTGATCGGATGGATGGAAATGTGAGAGGAAATTTGAGTGTTTGAGTCTTTAGCGAGGATGATGAAACAGTTTCACTGAATGTGTGTGTGTGTGTGTGTGTGTGTGAGAGAGAGAGAGAGTGAGAGAGAGAGAAAAGTGAGAGACAAGTCGTCAGTCAATGTCAGCATACCTCCTGAGAGAGGAAAGGGATGATCTGAGCACAGATAGCGCTGAGCCGCTTCACGATCTCCGCCTGTCAGAGAAACACACACACACACACACACACACACACACACACACACACACACACACAGGTAATGGTTACATTAGAAAAGTACATCCATTATATTTACATTCACCAGCACAGGAATTTTATGGTGCATATTGAGGTGAAGCCTGATATGGAAATTTTGGGATCAATATTCATACATACACTCATCATCCACTGGATCAAAACCGCAAACCTTCTCAACCCCTCTACACCCCCCCACCCCAGGCCTATCAGCTGATGCACGATTCAAAGTTCTTTACTGTCATGTGAATAAAGCAGGGATGCTCGTATTCATCCAAGATCAGAATCCTCTGATTTTTGCTCAAAACACAGAATCTGCAATTAGCCAAGTTATTGTTTTTTATTTTGGTAGATCTGTGTTGCAGTTATGACACAAATAACGAGAAGCAGGTAAGTGCACTCTCGCTATGTCTGAACGCTGCTACACATATACCAAAATGTCGTAGCGTAATAATTACACATGACTCACTGTGCTAAATACAGAGTGGCCTCTTACTTTCAGTGTAGCACTTTATCTGAATAATGACACTTAAATAAGGAACTGATTTCAAATTTAAGCATTAAAATGCCAGACTAGCTAATTAAAGAGCAAATAATGTTGTTCATATTACAAGTACGGCTATTAGAAAGTACTGGAAACGTGCAAGTTTGCTTCATGTGCTCTTCTACCACATACAGTGTGAGCTTCAGGTAAAAAAAAAAAAAAACAGGCTAACAAGCGTTGGCCAAAATATCAACCATCGGCCAGTTTGACTGTGAAAGACATCCGAAAGTGCTGCATCCTTGGTGAAAAGTGCAATCAGATTTTTAATTGCATGTCTTTTTCTAGACTTTGTTAGCACATAATACTCACAGTAAACATGTTTTACATGGAAAACGTAAACAAAAATATGACAAACACAGTCAGTGAAGTGAAAGTACCTGTGGTGAAGTAGATGTAGTATAGCATATTGTTAATATAATGTTTAAATATAATAATAATGTTTAAATATGCCAGCAGCTGGTTACACTGTGTCAAAATTTCATGATGAATCAGCCAATAGAAATGGTCCAAAATGACAGAGTCTTGTTGCATTAATGTTCACTGAATGCTAAGAGTGTTTCTTCCTTCTCCAGTCAAGTCACTTTTTAGCGATACAAAGTTTTGTTCTGACCATGACCATATAAGTGTGCGACAGAGCAGTTCATTCACAACAGTAATTTGTTTTTAAAGTTCACATTAGCAGTTTGCAGGTTGAAATATCAGACGCAAGTTAAACTGAATCACTTTGCAGTAAGTAAGACTTATTCATGTTCTTCATCGGTGTTCAGTTTCTGACCAGAGAGCTGCGCTCGGCTGGACATTTTTGGCCAGCGCACCACTCTCAACCTAGCAATGACATTGATGGGTGTAAAAACCCCTACAACACTGAAGAGCCTGGCACACTCGTACCAGCACCACACACACTAACTACCATGTCACAGTGCGGTGTCACAGCTGTCCTGAGGCTGGTCCACCACTACAAAAAATATCTGGTCAACAGTGGTCCTGATGTTTCATGAAGTAAGTGACATTGTATTGTACATTAAGGGGCCTTAAACTAAAGAGAAACACTTTGTTTGAAGGTCACATACATACGGACTTCATAATACATGTATAAACACTGAGTCATTTATTATAACTTTAATAGTTCAGTATTTATGAACAGCCTTTTGTCAGAAATTGCAAAATGACCTAAGTTATTCTATGACAAGCAACCTGAAAGTAAAGGGTAACCTACTCAGGGACCTCATAATGCAAGCATAAGCAGTAAAAAACTTTCATAAAGCAATGAGATGATATGAGATGCTTTATGAACTACATGACATTGTCTTGATGTAAGTATTGTACTGAAGTAAAGTGTTTAAGTGAGGCCAATGGCAACACTGTGAACAATTCATGTACCTTTTCCTAACAGAGCACCACACTATTCTTCCACTTCCACTTAAGGCATTTTTCCAATGAACGTTCAAAAACAAGAACTGACCCAAAGGAACGTACGGTTCTAGTTCTAGCTTATTTTCCACCTACTTAAAAGACATTAACAATTTAATTGTCCTTTTGGACATTTTATGCCACTCTGAAGAGTCTAATTTGGCTAATTAGCTTTGTTGCTAACTAGTAGTTACCTCAGCTTATTGGCAGACATGAAATGATGTTCTGTGCTCACAAACTCACAGGAATGTTCCTAATCACACATAGTCATGTAAAGAGTCTAAAAAAGCTTCTATTTTTTCTCAGTTGAGTGTAAAAATATGAGAAAAATACCTTTGTTTTGTGGAGGCTAGCATAAAAGCTAAAAGCACTCGTGTTAGTTTCCTAACTAGCTATGTTACCTTAGCACACTCTTTACAGAGTAACAGCAATGAACACATCGACATAACATTCCAGTTTACATTCTACTGCACTTACTGGGGATGTGATAATGCTTTTTATCTTTACCTGGAACAGTAAAGAACTTGCTGAATTGTCGTTGGTTTAGCTGCCAGTGTTAGCAAAGACAGATCAAAATGCCCCCAAGTGCCATTAGGTCCTGTTGGTACCAATATTGAGCTGATACCAGACACCATTAAACTGGATTCTTCAGTACCGACCACTGGTTAACAGAAAAGGAGTCATTCTATGGAAACGTCCATTTTTGTGTTCCTAGCACTTAGATATATTATACCTGTTAGGGTTACAATTTATTTATATTTTAAAATAAAATAATAAGCTATTTGAATAGTTACACCTTTTTGAGCCTCAATTCAGCAATACTGGCTTTTAAATCAATTATACAGAATTCCAAGCACCACAGTAGGGCTCGTCCTCACAGTCACGTGTAAAGGGTGAGGCCATATTTTGAGGTAAAAAACATGTTTTTCTGCAATTTTAACTGCGGTAATCTATACATGACTATGAAATAAACAATTTAAATAACAAAGAAAACAAATGGCAAATAAATATTCTAAAATATATAATGAAAGTTGTGGTCCCCAGGAGTCGTGTCACTGGTGTTACTGCGTAACAAAAAAATCTCTTATTTTCAAATAAAAATCACACTGATGATATCACTTGACTTCCTTTTACATATTTTCTGAGAGTCTATGAAGAAAAGCACATGGTGAATCCACTGTGTCTTTTCAGTTATCAGAAATTTCCTCATTTCGCTCATGATTTTATACAAAGCTTTTAGTTGAAGTCACTGGTGTGACCTACTTTATTCTTGGGTAACTGTGAAAAAATAGAACACAAATGGAATAAATTACATATTTTAGTGGATATTCCATGATTGACAACATGTGGTTTGATGCTCTGTAGCAGCCGTTTTGTAAAATGAATTTTTCATTAAAAATGTCACTGGTGCTATCTTTCTTATGTGTAACATCAATGACGATCAGTAACAGCAGTGACTCCTATGGATAGACAAAAAAGGGGACATTTCTGTAGAATGACCCAAAGGCATATTTTCAGTTTTCAGGTGTCAAAGGCTTCGACACTTTGTGCAGTGGGAAAAACACCTTTAGACCCACTAATTATTTCACTGATGTAATGACTGAAGGCTTATATTAGGCCTGATATAGCTGTAAAGCAGTGAGCTGATCAGGCTCTAGTTTAGCCAAGAGTGTATTGTTCAAAAAAAGTGTATTTGAACAAGGGATTTAGACAAAGAGATTGTTGAAATGAAGAGAGAAAAGGAGAGAGAGAGAGAGAGAGAGAGAGAGAGAGAGAGAGAGAGGAAGCTATTAAGCTCAGCTGTGTTGGTGGATGTCGTTTTTCATGTGCACTTTTGACTACATCTCTCTGTTTTCATCTCTTGCACTCGTTCAGCTGCCGTTGTTGTTAGTGTGTGTGTGTGTGCGTGTGTGTGTGTGTGTGTGTGTGTGTGTGTGTGTGTGTGTGTGTGTGTGCTGAATGCTATTCATTCATCTATTTTTCTCGGCTGTATGAGAGTGGGGAGTGTACTCTGGGCTTGAAGAGTCTGAACAGATTCAGTCTACTGCCAGAACACACACACACACACACACACACACACACACAACACTGTTTACTAATTATGTACTCACTCAGAGAAAAAGAGATAACCGCGCGCGAGCACACATACACACACACAAACACACACGCTCCTCTTTCTCTCCTCCCTCTAGGTGCTCTCTCGCTCTAACCATCTTCCCACACAGCCATTATTTTCCTTTCATCCTTTCTCTTGCTTCACCTCTTCTCTATCTCTCCCTCTCTCTCTCTCTCTCTCTCTCCTGTCCTCAGAGTCCCTGTCATACTCACACATTCAGAGAGATAGATAGATACAGAGAGAGAGAGAGAGAGAGAGAGTGAGAGAGATAGAGAGAGAGAAAGAGAGAGAGATAGAGAGAAGGAGACAGTGAGAGAGAGCCTATATTTCATAGCAAAAACAGGAAAAGGACAGGTTCACATTCAAGTAATTTTCTATGTATGTTTGTCCCGATTTCATATATTTTGGCTTTGACACCAGTACCAAGTGCTCAATGCCAAATGATACCATAACAAGATTATAAACACTGATTTTTGAAATGTAATCCTTATTTTTCCACACAAGCTGTTCAGTTGTTAAAGCTGCACTATGTAAGACCGTTTTGTTAAAACTGAAATACGTGGCGTTACTAAGTCAGCAGAAAAAACAGGCTAAAATCTGCTGCACGTGTGCGGCTTATCACCCTGTAAAGCCTGAAATAATAAAAAGACAGAGGTGTCAGGTTTGTTTTTAGTGAGCTTTTCAGACCATCATACATCTTTATAAATTAATATTAAGATGCAAAATACAGGGAGTCCTAATTAACTCACTGGACCCCCTTGCCTGTCTCAAAATCAAAATTCTAGGGGGTCCCTGAGAATAGACTTATGATGTTATGCGGTCCGTTAGTGAAAAACAGATGCTTAAATGCAAATTCAGGTCACTGTTTAGTTGCTTCACTCACAAATCGCA